TTGTGTTTCTTGTACACACAGCAGCTTTGGTGTATGTTTGTGTAAAAGTTCTTGAATATCGCCAAGGTTTTTCAACAGTCCTCTTGCAATCCATTGTAATATTTGCGTCATTTTTAGGTTGTGTGGTGCTGTGTGTACAAAAAGTGTTGCCTTAGATTACAGGGTCCTCACGAGGCCCTGTATTGCGTAGTATTTCTTTTTTAGTGCGCTCCAAAGAGGAGCGCCTCTCCTTTGGCGTCTCAGGCGCCAGAGAAGTGGGACTTGTATCCATCACCTCTTGTGAGGTGGCGGATGGTGCCTGCTCGGCAGGCATGGTCACAGAACTTTCGGACCTAACTGCGCTTGCAGTGGTCCGAGATCCAGCAGACACGGGGATCTGCCGACCCTGCTTGTCAGGTGGCGGAGCAGTACAGGCTGCTCCAGCCTGGGGCGCTGGTGACACGACTGCGGCCACACACTGTGTGACAATCGCGTGGGCAGAAACATGTGGCGCGGCGCCCCGGCGCATCACATCTGCGAAGGAGGGATAAGATGGTCTGTGTAGCGCGAAAGGTTGACATGCTTCTTGAAATGACAGATTGAAGTTGACCTTAAGTTCTACTATTTGTTTCTCTTTTTTTCATGTGGGGCATGATCGTGAGTAGGCAGCGTGATCTCCTTCACAGTTCGAACAATGAGTTGTTTCTGAGGTGCAGTCGTCGAATATATGTTAAATGGATGCACACTTTGCGCAAGTGGCACGCCCTCTGCCACTCTGCGATCCAAGACCGAAACGTTGGCCCTTAAAACATCGACGAGGGTTGGGAATGTATGGTCTACACGGAGCTTACAATGGCCAGTTTCGATTGATTCTGGTAGGTCACTGGTTCCGAAGGTAATTATTATGTGTTTTGGAGGGGTCTGTTTGTTGTTGCGCCTTATTGTTATTTGTTGGACTTTGACCACGTTCTCACGTCTAGTCCGGCCAACCTTCGAGCAGTTCACTTTCAGAACGTTCAGTAAGATTACCATCAGAAATTACGCCACGGACAGTGTTTATTGACTTGTGTGGGCCCACCAAAACAGGGGTTTCCCCAATCGCTACAAGTTTAGACAGCTTCTCATACTGAGCTTTGTCACCAACCTACAGAAGAAGAGCGCTACTTCCCATCTTTGTCACTTTATAATTTGGGCCTATTGCTTCTGTGAGAGTTTTCGACACGAAAAAAGGTGAAATCGCTTGGACTGTCTTCTTCTCGTTCTGACTGTGGGTAACATGGTACTTTGGGAATGTCGACTTTGATATGGTAAGCAGAAAAGTGTCTTCGGTGCACCACCTTTTCAGGGAGCGATCAGGAAGAGGGGGAAAAGCTTTTGCCATAAAAATACCATAAAGTTCGGCAGCAATGGAGACACCCACAACCGAGCCCAACTTGGGGACGCTACAAGGTTGAAAGCAAACACTTGGAGACGCCAGCCATACATCGCTGCTATAACCTGTTATAATTACCCTAGGTTGGATAGCTATACCAGGTTAACCCTCACTGCCAGGAAATTTAGAAGTAAACGGAAGAAAGAAGATGACAGGACAGATAAAAAGTGAGAAATAAAGACGAACATTAGGGGGAAGAAAATGAGAAAAGGCGGCTGCTGATTTCCTCTGGGTGGGTGAGCCCAGGGGTGCCGTCTACTTAAAGCCGGGGCCAAAGGGATGTGTTGCCTCTGCCGGGGGGACTTAAAAGTTAAGGTTGGGCCGACACCCAACCTTAAAAGGTTGGGCGTCGGCCCAACCCCCAGGATCCCCTTTTCCTCGAACACGGCAAAGCCATGCACGGCTGGGCGTGGGAGAGAGTCGAACCCCCCCCCCCCCCTGTTAGCTCGGGTCCGTGGTGTTGCTACACACTAAACGCCTGCTTGCCCAGACGCGCCTGTGGGAGCAAGGAAGGAATTAGGCTCGCGATGGCTACATGGGGCAAGAGATTCAAGCTTGCTTTTTTGCATCATGGCCGTCATGGTTTTGTGGCTCATAGCGAACCATTTTGAAAAATCTCCGTGGTAGAACGCTTTTCATTGAGCTTGCAAGAACTTCCAGTGTCTAACTACAACTTTTTATGGCACCTAGAAAGGGGTGCTTAAAGAAGTAAGCTACAGACAAAACAAAACCTATGTGCAAATCACAATTTTTGCCCGAAGGCGCAGCAGCGGATGGGCTCCAACGTCAAAAAAAAAAAAAAAAAAGCACGCATTCATTGATACAGCACACTTGTTCTCTTTGTAGGCCATTTCATTCAGTCATGAAACTGACAAAAAAATAATTATTATGAAAATTTGATCTGACACGACATTCCCAAATCTTAAAACAAGTGCCATTGCGCGAAGAGGATTGGTTATGTACAATCATTTTCGAATGCGAGTTTTACCATTAAATGTTTGGTGTAGGAGCTTTAAGCGCAGTTTAATTTGACATGATAGTGATTCCTATCATAGTTCATTTTTTGTAATGGTGCAGATGTCACTTTTGAGTAATGGCTTAGGACAAACCTTGCAGTCTTGTTTTGTATTTTTTCATGTTTGTCACTTCAAGACACATACCAAGAGATCTCATACGGTACAAGTGTATTCAGGCATAGGGTGGATGTATGCTAAATACATTGTTTACTATAAACATGCCAGCGCCTGTGCCAGGCTTCGCTGTTTGAAGTATAACGATTTGGCAGCCTTCACTGCCACTGAATAAACATGAGCATTTTATAAATGACCCTCCATGGTTTTCCATTCGTTCTACACCTATCCGCGGCTCCACAGTAAAACCTGCTGTTCCTCTCCCACTACAACACCCACGTTTCTTCAAGACCCTGGACAGCTGTCTGTAGCAAATGGTCGCCACGTCCTCGGCCATACACGTCACTCTTATTTCCTTATCTCATCTTTAATTCTCTCTCCTCATTCCCCTGCAGATGCTGAGACGTGCTTCCACTTAGAGCTGCAGAAATAGCATTTATTGTACTCCTCATGCTCCTCCTCCAATAGCTCGCAGCATGTCAGCTCTGTGGCATATGGTGAATAGAAAGAGCCATTTCACAGCGGTTAGCGGTTGTTTTACAGATGTTGCTAGAATTTGTGAACTTTGTTAAACCTCATAGTGTTTGGAAATATCAATGTTGCCTTCATTACTTGAATAACAGCTTCAAACGACGCTAAAAAAAATAAAACGTGGGCTAAAATAGCGCTCACATAGGCGCCGATTTGAAAAAGAAGCATTTATATGTACAGTATACCCTCGTTACAACGGACTCTGGTACAACGGACATTCAGATACTACGTACCAATTCGCGACGTTATGCTGATCTCCCTATCTTTTCCATTGATTGAGCTTCGTTTACAACGGACTCGGGTACAACGGACATTCGGATATAATTGACTAAATTGTGACGCCAGCAAGGTGGTCAGGCCTCCTTTACAGCGGACTTTTCTATCACGGACACCCGAGATTCAATTGTTTCCGATTTCAGGCATCGCTAGGCATAGTTGCGGCACGGCAAAAGCACGCCGGCGGTGTCAACACAAGCGGCGGCCATTTCAGGGAGGCCGCGCTTGGCTTGGATTGATCTGGCTGCCGGGGCTGACTTCGACTTCTGTTACATTTAGCGAGCCATAATTTGCAATGATTGCAATGTTGTCAAAATAACATAAAGATAAAAGATAAAAAAATCTTAGTTAGACTCGTAACGGACAATAGTGACCGTTATTTCCCGTTATTCCGTTACTTGACTATGTTTGTGACTTTCAATTCTCTCCTGTTATAAGAGACTCATTACGTGTTTACGTAAATGTTTGTTGTAACAGTACATGGATTGTACAGACTCCTTTTACAACAGACCAAATCCTCTTCACTATGAAGGTCTGTTGTAACGAGGTTATACTGTACTTATAAGCATATAGGCATGAACACCAAACATAGGCATTTAGAGGCACTATAAAAACCCCTTCTCAATCTCTAATTCATGCTCATATATCAAAATGGCACGATAGGAACGCAAGGAATGAAGTAAGCATTTGCCTATAATCCAGTCTTTAGTAATGACCAAGCGCGCCATGGTCAAATCAGTCGATAGCTGATAGAATGGTCGTGATGAGCGATTTTTTAGCTTCTTCCGTCATTTGTTGAGAGAACAAAAAGCATTTTTGAAAGAAATACACTTTCTTAGTGTACATAGAACCTTTTAGAAAGAAGACAATTAGGACAGAGCACACTCTTATCTGTCTTTTTTTCTAAAACCTTCCCTGCACACTAAGAAAGTGAATTTCTTTCAAAAATGCATTATCAACCAGCTTAAGTAAGAGAAAGCAATTTTCAGTGAACTGAGATTTTATTGCGAATTCCATGCTGCACTAATATTTGGCTCGAATTTTCTCAAGAGCCTCGACTACCATCAGCGGAGTTGTATGACCATGCTCAGAAAGTGTTGCAGGGACCCTTTAAGGAGACCGACAACCAGCTAAGGGGTGCGATTAGATCGCAGTGAAACTGAAAAGACAATTATGGTGGCAGATTCAAGCACTTTTCTCGCTGTTTGAATATGATGATCCCCAGTTTTGGATTGTATTTGAAAGTCACAAATACATGGTGCAGTCTGGCGTCTAGGCGTCAAGGTCACGTTCACACTGATTCGAACAGCGTATCCAGAAAGCAAGTTCACAGTTGCTTGCCCAGAAAGCATCCGGATCAATTTTCTCTACATAGAAACGTTGGAAGCTTTGCCAAAGGCAATCAGGGCCAGAGATGTGCGAGTGCAGTATCACGTACTGCTGCAAGATTGTGTCACGTGTGTAGTATATTGGTAGATTCCTCTGCTTTTACGGCCAAATGGTCAGAACGTGATGCAAATGGTCCTAACAGCCATGTGCCCTTGCTGCCTTTGGAAGTTTGCTTGCCCACTTGCTAGCTCTGCATTCCGCGTGAACGTGCATGTAAATGGCAGTAAAGGTTAGCACAGATGAAAGGAAGAGTTGTGACGCACTTTGTCGGTGACCAGGATGTCTTCAATGCCAAGCGTGAAGCCAGAAAAAATCTGTAGGTAGTGCGTGAAAAGCCTCGCAAAGGCACTCAGCACCAAGCTGGATACCGCACCTCCGTACAGCTGAAAAGAAAAAGCAAGGCATCTGCGATTGAAGCTTCACATGACAGCATACTATTTGAAGAGACAAATTTCTCTGCCTATAGACAAGGTAAGGTTATGGTGACATAGCACCCCGTGCTGGGTCACAGCCTAACGACTACACTTGCACTAACGGCTACACCAATATTGCATTCATTATTGTGAATTTAACAATTTTATGATGGGCCTATCAAACTTTCGTTATTACCCTCAAGGTCTACTGCCATCCAGGCTACACTGCCTTAATGAAATACAATGACCACTCACTAATTTGAATATCAGGGGTCTGGAAAAGATGTCCAAACTTACTGGATTCGAAATTTTGAAAGCATGAAGAAAACACTTTTTATAGATACATAAATGTCATAATTATTTTGCATAAGATCTTTGTAAAAGCAGCATACTTTGTCATTCAAGACTTCATTCATAACGTGACCACGGCTGAAAAACACAGCGTCTTGAGTCGTGGTCACCAACAATGCCATTGTGGTGGGACTGTGGATGGCAACCCCCCCCTTCTGAAAGCTGACGACCATTCCAGCTGTTCACGGCCACCATTTAGGCTCCTTTTCATTGCAGACTTGCAACGCTTATGCTTGGCGTACCAAAACAACAATCCGAGTTTACCAGGTTGTAGTTAAATACTACCAAATTAATGCAAGTTCCAAATCATTGAACAATATGTGTGCTTGTCCAGAGAACATGTTCAAATTATCCGAGTTTCCGAATTAGGAGAGGTCAAATTACTGAGCTTTTACTGAATTTATGGCAGAACTGAGAAGAAAGAAAGATAAGAGAACACAGGCACCGCTTTTAACAAGAAAGTGCTATACGCCAGGGTCCACCAAGACTTTAGGAACATATTTCTGATACGGATATGGTGTAAAATTGACTCTACTAAATAAGAAAGAAGACATTAAGAAAAGTTTTCCTGCTGAAAGTTGAACCTCCCTGCGGGGAGTCTATCCTCTGACTCCTTGGCCTACGGTTATAAGCACCCGGTGCTTTACCATTCAGCTACCGAAGCATCTCGTAGCAAATGTGTCATTATCTCACACATTTTCTCTCTACCACGTAACTCTCTGTTGCTGAGACGGGGTAGTGCCACTGTCTGTGAGTGGAGAAATAATGCAGCATGACGCTTACAAGCACTGATAGGGAATGATTAGTCGAAGACACAGTTGGCTCTGACTTTTCAGAAATCGGGAGCCCCCCTCCCGAGCAAAATGGGAAAGTTGACAGGTACAATTCCATATCATAACAGAAAAAAAAAAAGACTTAGCAAAATTATGACAGGACATTAGATGAAGAAGCTTCAACATCACTCTGAGCATCATGTTCGTGATAACCAGCAGATAATGAAGCCAAAGAAGGCATAGGGAATGTTAACTGCATTGTTTTAAGGGTATTGTGGGTATTTTAAGGATATTACTAAAGTATAGATGTGATGAAATTTAAGAGAAAAAGAAAACTTGCCACCTAAACCTGCGACCTTTGCATCCGAAAGTCGCAGGTTTCGAAAGTCACTGGTACGGTCCCTGCCAGCAGGAATTTTTTCGTCTGCTTAAATTTCTTCACATCTACATAGCAATTACTACGATAGCTTTAAAACAGTGCACTTAATATTTGCTATATGTTTCTTGGCTTCATTATCTGCTGGTTATCATTATGCCATATGGAGACACCAAAGAAACATGCCCTGAAATATCCCAGGTTTCACTTTTCTTCCATGCTTAATTCAACTGAGCACCAGTGATTTGCCTTTTCATGACGTCACCTGCCCAAGTCTTTTTTTTTTTTCTTCTTTTTAGCATCAACTAAGGTATTGGTTGCTCCCATTTATTTCCTCATCCACATTGCTGTCAACTGATTCTCTTTATAAATTTTTGTGCCATTATACACTGAGTGGTCAAGTTAAAGGCAATTACAAGACGTCAACAGAAAAGGTACCTATGTGTTCTGCACTCGTTCCACACTGTTCGCTCTTCCGCACAAAGCAGGCATAATAAAAAAAGTGTGGAAGAAGGACTTATGGACTGAATCTTCAATTGGTGCCACATATTACCAGATCACACTTCTATCCCAATGCATCTAAAAAAGTGCTCGTGAGCTCTTCCTTCCAGCTATTTAGCAAAGAAATACTAAAATGACATTTTCTATAAAGATCATCTCAACATGCACTATAGCACAACAGATTCAATGAAAGACCGTGTGAAGCTTACGAAAAGAATTGTACATATATGTAATGTCCTGAAAAATGTGTTTAAAGGCCTTTGTGATGACTCACCAAGTGCCAAGTTCCTAAAAGCTACAAGTACTTATGCACAGCTAATCTTATTCAGGCTAAGATGGAAGCATGTTCATTGTTGTATTCCATCATTTCGCTTCAATGATCATCCTTCCTTCACCTGAGCAGTTTTTAGTCAGAATAAGCATGCCTGTCATTCTACAGTTGTAAGGCCTCCTAAAAATGGGAACCTAACCGGAGACTTCATAACCTTGCTCCTAAAGCCACCTGATGTTAGAAAAGGAAAGACTGGCTGTCTGATAACAATAATTGATGAACTATTAGACGATAGCAATTTGAAATGGGCAGAATTGGTGTTAAAAGCACAAAGCAAGCAGTCTGGTCATGGCATGCATCGAAAGGCAGAGCGATAACAGGTTAGTGCATTACATAGTTGGCAATGATCTCAGAGAGTCTCCAAAAAGGTTTTCATGTCCTAAGTGTGTCTCATGCCTTTGTATTTGCCTTTAGAAGCAGAACATGATGATAATTTTATATTAACAAGACATTCGGATAACGGGGGCATAATCTACCCTTATAAAGCTGTTGAAGAGCTTGTTTTAAAAGTTGAGGTGACATTTAATTGTGTGCTTGAGCAGAAGTAAGTTGAAATCTTGCCCTGCTTTTTGCATCTTCGACAAGGGGGTGAAGCGAAAAGAAGTGGGGTGCATAGTCAAAATTCATAACAAACATAAATTCTATGCGCTGACATGACTCCAATTTCTTGCTAAAGCAAAAAACAATGACTGAAACATGCGAAAGGAAAGGCACAAGCTCCTGAAAATGACGCGATGCCAGTAGACCAATATTTTGTTGAACCCAATATGTGGACATTCCTTCGTCATGAAATAATCAAACGAATAGCCCCCGTAACAAGTTTTGAAAAGTCTTCATTATACAGTGTTAGTCTGGAGCATTATGTGCACTTTTGTAAGGCATCAATAAAGCGTATGGATGAAACAAACACATGGCATTCCTTTCTTGCATTTGTGGGCTTTTAGGTGCAACTTTTCCAATTGAAAAAGTAGAAAAAATTCATTTTTGATGGGTCTTAGCACATAATTTATCACTCTGGGCCAAACAGCAGCGCAACAGGTACACTGTCTGATATTGTCACGAGGTCGTGACGTGTATGAAAAGAGCAGACTTCAGGTCGAAAATGAAACTGTTTATTCGAGCTAAACTTTTGGCCATGCAAAAGAAAAGTCGGATTATAGCATGACACCGGCACTAATAGCGGTGAACAGAGCGTCGGCCGTCGATCAACTGACATGCGGCGAAGTGTGTTGGCATTTATACACTAGCCATCGAACATTCTAGCGTTATCCCTAGAAGCGATGCAGATTCCAGAATAATTTCTAATGTTCATGAAATGGGCGCAATCTTAACAAAATGATCTACTGCCATCCCGAAGCTTCTCAAACAGTGTAGGCGTAGTTTGCACTAAAAATTACAGGCAGTGAAATGGGGCGGTAACAGAAGATAAGGCGAGAATGTGACAATATATACAAGCACATCCCAAGTGCATGGTCTCATTTCTGTATGTTGTCAGTCATCTCCGTTGCACTGCTGTTTGAACTATGGTCCAACGCATCCAAACAACAGCTTTATTTACTTTGTTTTAACATGCTCGCTAATGCTCGAAGACTATGGGGACCTCACACACCATTGTATGATCGTTTTTCGACCTTGCATTCTTTGCATCCTGCAACAGCGGCTGACGAAAAACACTCATTGCTTGCAAGCCCCTGCTGAAAAGCTGACCCCCCTGTGAGAAGTGGCGACATCTACCGGATCATAGCAAAGTATTTCACATGGCTCGCGCCTTTCACCACACTAGGAAAACCTTCTAGCCTCTATACTACGACAGTGAAAAACTTGATGCGAGTGACCTGCAGTATGAAGTCGCCGATGATTATCCGTGCATGCTGCGCTAATGCTCGAACACTGCGCACACAATGAAGCACGCACGTGAGCATAGCTGGCAACCTATATGATCCATACAATTTGACATGATAAGAAAATGGCGACGAAAGCCAGAACGACAATGACACACCGGGCACAACGAACGTGAGGAATCTTTATTTATGCAGTGCGTAAATCCTATGCAGTGCCTAAGAAGGATGCGCACGCTTAAGAGTTCGTCTTTCAGCAGTCAAGCTGCTCACATCAGAATATATTGCGCTCTCCCTCAAATAAACACACATTGGTTCCATATTATTTCGTGGTTTTTCACACTTTCGCCTTGTGAGAGACAGCCTCTGTTGTTCCTTAATTACAAAACGCATGCACGTGCTGTCCAATAACGAGTACAGTCCAGTCTCATCAAGCCTTACACAAACAAAAATTATATCGTCGTATCAGGACACCTCTCCACAAGGACCTTGATAAACATTAAGCGCGGGTGTGGCACCACCTTCAGAATCATACATTTCTTAACCTGCATAAGCTTCACATCATGTACTAGGAGAACTTCCCCCTCATGTGTTAGCTCAATGCACATGCGCCACTGCATGGAGAGCCCTCCATTTACTTAGCTTTCAATAATTCGAACTTCTTTTAATGCGACCAAATTTTCGGGCCCCTTTGAGTTCGAATAATCGAGATTTGACTGTATCTTGGAATAAACTGGTAAACGGGCACGGCCGATGGCGGCACAAGAAAGCCTGAATGTAAGAACTTTCTTGATGTGGTTTTGTCTTTCGGTTTAAGCCAAATAGTTCCTATGCCAACACGGGGGAATGCTATTTTGAATCTTGTGCTCACAACTGCACCGTCAAACATGCCTGTCTATGTGTTACACAGCATCAGTGACTACAATGTCACGCATGGCGAGTTCGAGCTTAACTCGTAAAAAAAGCATGCAGGAAAAGAAACAATGTCGAAGGAATCTGTAGTAGTGCAAGCAAAACGCTAGGCTTCATTCGGCGTAACCTTTACCGTATTTACTCGCGTAATCCTCGCACTCGCATAATTCTCACACCCCCCACATCGCCCAAGAAAAACACGATTTTTTTTTTCCTCGAGTAATTATCGCACCCCGGAAAACTGCCACAATAATGTCGTCTGCTCGTTCCAGCCACTGATGATGATAGTGCGCACCATCTGGCGCCATCTCTTTAGCATCAAGCGTACTATTGCACGAAGATTCAATCCAATCCAAGCCAAGCCGAAGTGGCCAGTGCACGTTGCGGCGTTTTGTATGTTGTGTCGGTAATCCTGGCACGTTATGGGGCGACACTGAAGCTACATGGCTGCTTCAAGTTGCAAATGATAGATCATGCACTAAACAACAGCGACAGGGCCGCCGGTAGGCCCTTCGGAGCCTATGTGTTTTGTGTTCACAATTGGTGACGGCAGCTGAAAGCCACCAAGGCACGTTGGGCCTGCCGTGTGCCTAAAACTGGGATTGATGGTAAACTTTGATTCTTCAGAAGGAAACTGCGGACAATTCCGTTAAATAGCCATCAGCCCAATACTGACGTCCTACGCTTACCCTTAGAGGTCTCCTGTTGAATGACGAACGCTACCGCTACGCCCGCAAAGCCCACAAGCTATGCGTATGGTATTCTAATTCTCAGCTATTTGCTTCCACTTTTTGTGTCTCAAATAAATCTTGCCTTGTGTTGAACCTCTGATTTTATTGTTGAGGTAAGTTCTAATTAGTAGTTCTTAAAGCTTGATGTAAGTTGCTAGTGTGAGAATCCCGATTTGCGGCCACTTCGTTTTCTTTTTCGCTCTCTGCGCTTTCGTGGAAAGCTTTCCCCGCATAATTCTCGCACCCCCAACCTTGCATCGTTTTTCCAGCGAAAAAAGTGCGAGGATTATGCGAGTAAATACGGTACTTGGCAAACAAGTCTACTAAATTATTGCCCTATACGAGATTAGTTCGCGCATAACTAGAATATGCATCTTTCATTTGGAACCCGCACCAGTCTTAGCTTATCAACAAACTCAAGGCAATTCAAAATAAAGCTACCAGCTCCATTACCAAAGATTATTCACGAACATCTAGCACAACTAATCTAAAGAAGTCTCTGAATCTAAGCTCACTAGAAAATAGAAGAATAATCTTACTTCTATCTCATTTTGACAAACTTCATCACTCAACATCTTCATTCACCGCATGCCACATCAGGGCCGCCCATCGTATCTTTCCGCACCTTGATCATCCCCTTAAAAAGCAACCCGTTTTTGCTGGATCTAAATTCTTAACTAAATCCCCCCCCTTTTCTCAATATATCATCGGAACAAGCTACCTTACGACATCCTTTCTTCTTTAAGTCGTGAAGATTTCATAAATAATCTTAGAAGTTATTTTAATGAACACTCTTAATGTTGTGCATATCTTTTCATTGTTATTCTTTGCAGACTGTATTTCATTCAGCAAGAATTATCCTTTTATAGTATAGTTTTCTTGTTTTTTGAGCATTGAAAAAGCATTTCTTTAGAGTTTTTTTCCCTGTTCTTCTTTTCTTTTTAGTAGTACATTTCTTTTATCTCCGTTGCACTAGTGCTCTGTTATGTTATGGTATGTCTAAACATGTATGCATGTGTGCATTCGAGTATGTGTATATTTATATCTATTTATATCAAACACTTTACTTTTTATTGAATATGTATGCTGCACTTGTAACAGCTTGATTGTATTATATCCCCCCTATGTAATGCTTTCTCAAACCTTAGGGTTTTTGAATAAAAAAAAAGACAGACGTGGTCGTGGGAGACAACGCTCGAAGTGAAGCCTTGGGAAAAGGGCCCCATCTGCAGTGAACACATTTATTTATTTTTTTAATGAATGTTGTCTCTCTCTTGTTCCATATATTTCGTTAGTTTTTTTCATGCTTATTAGAACATAAGGCAATCAGGCATGTATACACAACACAGGTTATGTTTAGAACTTCTGCGCAAACATTTAATACTTTCACTATAAGGACTTTTCAACTTAACGAATGATTTTTTGGGGTCCTTTGAGATTCGTTGTATTGAGATTTAACTGTATATGTTGTCAACCTCAGCTACCACAAAGGTTAAATAATATTATAATAGGCATTTGTCATCACGATGTAGCTGTGCCAAAAACCGTCGATGTTAGCATACCATAATTACTCGCATAATGGACGCACTTTTTTTCTCAAATATCGGAGCAAATTTGAGTATGCATTCATTACGTGGGGCAAATTTTATGAAAACTTTTTTGAGATGAGCAAGAAATGCAATAATGCTAAAAAAGAAAGTTAGGTAGCTTAGCTTTTTGCAACTGACATACACATACACTGTTTTGAACCAGCTTTTGTTGCACTTAACTCATCTTCGTTGGTTGAAGGCGCTATCTTCTGCAAGCTGTCCCCCGGACTGCCCGCACACACCACAAAAGCGTTCCGTGGCTATCTTTTCTCGCAATCGTTTAACCGCAACAGTGGTACCTGTAGTGATCTCAAAGGGCACCCAGAAGCGTGTGCTACGACGCACTTGGCCAACTTTGCGACAACCCAGCTCGCACGACGACCGCAGCGATGCCGTTGACATTGTAGCAAGTAACCAACATTGCTACCAACGAAGCATCGATACAAACCACTAATAATAAGATTACCGACAAAACAGGTTTGCCACCTTGCTGTCCACATGAGAAGTTACTGTAGAAAAGGTAGCCTATATCATGCATTTTTTAAAGTACGTGCAGGTAAGAAGCACGAAGAGCGAATTGCAACCGAAGCGAATCAGCATGTGGTTGGGCCTAAAGTTTCCTATTTGCAGGAAGCAATCGTTGGTTGGCGCAGGCAGTTCCGTGACCTTCGCTCGCTGTGTGCTAGTGTGCTGTGATGTCTCTGCACTTGCACCATTCATAAACCCCGCTGTGGCGCATAGAGAACTACAGAAGACTGAGACGTGCCGCACACAGATAGAAAAACAAAATGGGGTGCAACGGCGTACGTAAAGAAAGAGGAAGCGAGTTGGGGTGGCCGAGGTGGTTCAGCATAATAATAAAAAACGGAAGAGATCCAGCGGGCGAGGAGGTGCCAGGTGTCGGATAGCGGGACTGCAGCGGATGAATGTAAGGGATGCCTGTATTATGCGGGGAAAAAATAATCCGAATTTTGACAACTGAAGTTGGGGTGCATTATATGAGTACATTCATTACAAGAGTAAATATGATATCTACATCAAATGGTGCTACAGCTGCAAAGCGCCAATATACATTGTGCAAACTCTCTCATAGCCTGTGAAGATGCACTTCACTTTCATGCTATATCAATTCCAATGGCAGGGGGATTAGCCATGTTTTTTGTCTTGATTTTCAGTAGTGCCACAAATATCTCGTTACGACTATCACCTCACTCAAGGTTACACATTGCCTGACATGTCGACTTTCTAATAAGTGCCAGCAGACTTGGCAGCAATGCATGCTACGCTTACCTCGTAGCAGACATGAACCAGACCAAACTGGGTCGGACCATAGTTGGCCTTGTCGAGGATGCCGCAGAGAAGCTCGCCATCTCGAATGACCACATTGCCTTCATTCATGATGGCCTCTGTTTCGCCACCCTTTAGCCATGCCTAGAAAAAGACAGCACAAACATTCACTTCAAGACTCTATGGCCCAAATGTCAAGTAGCGTGATCACTAAAATAACATCACAAAGGACGACATACACAGAGACAAGACACAGACAGAATTTATAACGCTGACACATCACAAAAAACATAATCACTTCATGAGCAGAAACTCCTTTTCTTTACGAATATGAGCTATCAAGGGAGTGCTAACGCACTGATCCGCGAGCTTATCAATCAGGTCCACTTCTTTTATATCACCTATGATCTGTTCCGCGTTTTTAGATACAATACTCGACTTGGCATACAACGAAACATACCCACAGTGAAAACAAGGATGAGCTAAGTTGCCTTGCTTATACTTTTCTACATTGTACTTGTGCTCAAATAATTTTCAATTAAAGGAGTCATGACATGGTCATCCAACAATTGACGGTTTTCAGCGAAAATCAAAGGTAGAGGGTCGAATATTTATTTATTTATTTTATTTATTTATGCCGTACCCACAGCACCACATGGCATTTCAGTGTGTGTGTGAGGGGGGGCGGAAGCAAAGAAAAATTCAAAGCATACAGTTGGTAACAATCGCTAGCAGCACCAGGAAAACAAATACATATACAAGAAGATCACAAGAGTACAGTGCAGTCCACTTATAACGATACCACATATAACGATATATCGGTTATAACGATGGGTCGACTTAACAGTCTCATTTTATGCATTGGGGCTATGGGGAAAAAAACCATATATAACGATATGTTATCCACCGCATATCGGATACAACGATGAAAAGTTTGCCGTGGACGGCATGTTTCATTCAGAATAATCGTAACATTTAGATTGATAAGTTCCTCTGAAACGAACTATGCCGAGACAAGGCGAAAAGTTAGCGTAGGCGAGTACGTATCTGCCGCCACTGCAGGACAGCGCCGGCAGCGCGTCCCGGCCGTTCAAAAAGCCGAGGAGAGCATCGCGAGTTGGCGCAACGCGCTACAGATGGCGCCAGCTGTGTCACGTTTTGCGCCTCCAGCGCGTCGACCGCGGAGAGGCTGAGAGAATTTGAAAAAAAAAAAAAAATGCGAAAAGCAAAGTGCCGCGCTCCGCGGCTCCCCGCCTTCTACAACGGCAAGCTACTCGTAGATTGCCGAACGAACGCGGGAAAGAGAGAGAAAATAAAAAAAAGCGAAAAGCAAAGCGGCGCGGCGGCATCGGGGCGGGGCCTCGTAGGCATTCCGGCTGTGTACCTCTGGCTGTGCTTTCTTCCTCCCACTGCTCCCACCCCGCCGTCGGTCAGTCTCTCTTCCTCAGCGAACCCGTGATGCGTTCTTCGGAGTAAGAAATAAAGTCTTGTTTTTGACATCCTACTATCTACAATATTTATTAATTGGTGAAAATAGCGAAATGAAGCCTGGAGCTACAAAAGGTACGTCCGGCGACGATTTTTTGGCGGCAGTCCAGATATAACGATCACCGGTTATAACGATCATATTTTTAGGTTTTCTCGATATCGTTATAAGTGGACTGCACTGTACACTAATGTGCACCATAGTGAATCTTTGTGCAAAAATAAAAAAAAACAAGATTGCAAATAAACAAGAATAGATTAATTAATTTAACAATGAAGTATATTATAGTGATAAAAACATAATTACATGAACAAGAATGTACAATAAAGGAAAATACGATTACAAGCATATAGCAGTCATCACTAGCAGCAACATGAGTAAACAGCAACTCTAATACAAGAATTATTTTAGCAGTGAAAAAAATATGTCATTGGACGATATAGTTGCGACAAACTTGTCGAATTGATTCCAGTCCTGTATTGTTCTAGGAAAAAAAGACTTGCTAAAGGAATGTGTTCTGCAGGGAAATTCCATGACCTTATCTTATGGTCAGTCCTATGAGAATAGTAATTAGGTGCCTTTATGTAAAGATGCCTATCAATGCCAACTTTTGAATGAAAGATGTTGTGGAAAAACTTCAAGCGAAGTCTGCGTCTTCAACAATCTAGATTATCCCATTGCAATAATTCTTTCGCGAGCGTAGGACTGAACTCTCTGTCGTAACGTCCACAAACAAATCGAGTGGCCAAGTTGTGCACCCTTTCAAGCTTTTCTGTGTCACATACTGTTGAGGGGTCCCAGACGACACACGCATAGTCAAGAACGGAACGCACATATGTTTTATAAAGCAATTCCTTTGTAGACATATTAAAGTTCTTTGCGTTACGGCGAAGGAACCCAAGCGCTTTCCCGGCCTTGCCTGTTACATAGTCAACATGTCGCTGCCAATTTAAGTTAGACGATAGGTACACTCCTAAGTATTTGTATTCATTAACCTTACTTATAATGACATTGTTAATTGTGTACGATGTCTGAGACTGTAATTTCTTACGAGTAAACTCCATGTAAACTGTCTTATTCAAGTTCAACTGCACGCGCCATCGTGTACACCAATCACTGATTTTGGTTAAGTCTCTGTGAATGAACGCTTTGTCCCGCGAATCCGTAATTTCCCCATACAAAACACAGTCATCTGCGAACAACCGTATGTGGGATTCTACGCCCTTAGTTATGTGGTTGACGTAAATCAGAAATAAAAGTGGTCCCAGTACCAACCCTTGGGGGACGCCCGATGTTACTTGCGATGCGCAAGAACTGGTACCATTAACGATTACAGTCTGCTGGCGTAATGTCAAATAATCAGCGACCCATGCGACGACCTGAAAATTATTGCCATACATAGTCATTTTCTCAAGAAGCAAACGGTGTGGGACAGTATCAAAGGCCTTCTTGAAGTCTAAAAAAATGCAGTCAATTGTTTTTCTTTGTCTAACGCGTATGCTATGTCGTGCGTAAATTCTGTCAATTGGGTAGTACAACAAAAACCTCTTCGAAACCCGTGTTGCTGTGGCATAAATAGTGAATACTTATTGATGTGTTCAACAATGGAGGTATATATTAGGTGCTCAAGAATTTTACATGCCACACTAGTCAGCGATATTGGTCGGTAATTAGAAACGTCACTCCGTGGACCAGACATGTATTGGGACAATCATTGCTTTTTACCAATCTGAAGGAAGGCTGGCATCTAGAAGTGATTTATCAAAAAGTACCTTTAAAAACTGCGCTAGTGTTGGCGCACAAAGCTTAACAAACACGTTTGTGAGGCCATCTGGACCACACCCTTTTGAGCTGTCTAATCTTTGCAATAACACTTGAATGCCGTGCGCGCAGATGTAAATATCCTCCATATTATCAGTTCGTATTTGATTTAAGTGGGGATCACCGACTCCGGGTGCTATAAGCAGCATAAAAACAGAACTGAAATAATTATTGAGGCATTCAGCTTTATCAATGTCGTCATGGAAGACGTCATCACCAGAAATAAGCGTTGGTATCGACACATTGCCTTTACCATTTCTTTGGACAAGTTTCCAGAACTCTTTTGGTTTGTCTTTGAGAACGGATTGCAAAGATTCAGTGTAATCACGTTTTGCTTTAAAGGTGAACGTCTTAACTTCAAGTGTTACATTTTTCAGTCGTAACTTATCGATATCGGTCGGGGTATCACAAAAAGTATGGTAACATCTCAACCGTTTTTGTGTAAGTCTGCGCAGTTCTTTCATGAACCACGGCTTACTTTTCGCTTTCCTAGTCGTTAAGTGCCACCATGGAATGAACGCATCACGTAATTCACTCATTTTGTTTTTCAAAAGAATCCACAACTCACTGACGCGGAGTTGTTCCGCAAGGGTTTCAAATACAACAAAGTAATTATCCAGAGACTCATTTATTTTTTCAACATTAGCTTTAGAATAATTGTATACGCACCTTTGGTCGCACACGATAAAAACTACACACAGTTACTAGCTTCTTATTCCAAGAATGAATATGCTTGTACACGTGTGAAAACACACATGTACAAGCATATTCAACTGTCTACCCTTACCCAGCTGTAAGAGATTATTTCAGTCCAAATAGGTTGCAAAAGCCATTGGCTGTAAACTCTGCCCACAGCCGGCGACCGCCATTTTGTCATGGTGTGCATGACGTCACAAGCCGAAGGAGCAATGTCGTCTGCTACCATACGGCACTTTCCACAAGCGGTCAGTGTTGCGAGTGTTGCTTGCCACGTGATCTGCCATGTCACTTGGTTGCAAGTGTTGCGGTGTGTTACCGGTACCATCACCATATGGGACGACGTCGTGTACGTTGGGCATTTTAACTTCAACTCCATCGCCACCAGCTCAAGCAACGAAGAAAGTGTAGAAGACAGCATGAACCAAGATGCCAACGACCTCTCCGTAGTGTAAGACGCTGCAGAAGGCTTTCTACAATGATAAGTAGCTTTATTTCACGCGTCTGGGTTGAAAAGCGAGCTCGGGATACGGAGGTCCCTTGACGCTGCATTCAAGAGCAAGTGTTACTAAGTGCTGGAGAACTGGCAAAGCATGCAGATTTTTGTTGGCTAGCATACCTGCATGAAGAACTTTCGATGCTGAACATAATAAATAAGTGGTTGTAACAATGCTGCGCATTAGTACCGTTGTTTTTCCATCGGTTGTTGCTTGCGGCATACGTAAATGCCGAAACGAACGGCATGTCAGTGTGGTGCAAGGGTTACTCAGAATATACATTTTGGCTGAATTTTTTTGCTTGAACTCTGTCCAATGCATTTGGTTCCGGTAATAAAAAAAAAATAGGGGGTGTGACGCTCTACCATGGCACTGCCAGCGAGGAGTTTCAATAAATATTTATCCATAGTCGCAAACAGCATATGCATTGCACATTCACAGGACACTTTTTAACCTCTACAATTGCTTGCTGCAAGTACCAGTGCTACATGGGTGACCCGGTGGCATAGTTTCAACCCCTGAAAGTCACTTAGTTCCAGAGGCAATTTCAACAATACAGAAAAATTTCAATTGCAAGCACAGCTGACAACGACACACGATTGTCCTCCAAAATGAAGATCGTGCAGCAGCTCGCCCAGCAAGTG